ATTGATTTACTAACAGTGATAACAAAATTCAGTAAGGGTGTATAACCTTGCAGGTAACTTCGGAAAGAACTTTTTTGTTCTTGTCGAAACACCTTTGTCACGCCTTCGATGTCAAGCTGTCACCTCTAGAGGAAACCAGTAAAACTCCGAACACGTGAAAAACACCAAAACAATAGAGTGGAATGTGTGGAGAATTCACGCGTTACAAAATTGTCTGCGCTGGCTCACTATGTCCTTTTACACTTGTCGTCGTCGAAGCTTACAGACTGCGGTGACAGCGAGGTAGGAAAAGTGTTGAAAAAAAGGATCTTCCAACTAAAGAGTACGTTTTGAAAACACTTTCATGTAGGCGAACTTTGCAGCTAACACCGAAAGAGCGTAAGCTAGTAATATGACACGATGAATAACAGTTCGTTTGAATGTAGTGGTTCCGCAAAAGCTGAAATCTGTCAGAGGACGTTTCGAATAACACTTGTAAGCGGTGAACTGGAGAAAATTCGCTCACTTGATTAACAACGTCACCAGGTTATGTTTCTTGAATGTTGTTTAGTGATCTATCTGTTATTCGTCGCTAAAAATTCTCAGGTCGAATACGAGCAGAGCTGCGCGCTGCAAGTTCGTNTGTTCTCTAAGTTGTAATCAATTAATGATGTATTTCTTTCGAGGTAAAGCACTCCATATTTTAAATCAGTTTTAAACTGAAATATCGAAAGTTGTAAGCTTATACTTTAATATGTGAGCTTAGGAAAGAGAATTTCTACTATAATACGAAGTTTTATTTTGAATCTTAAATGAATTTCTCACACAGTTAGCTTATAGCGTTGAAGCTAATAGCGCATGCATGAGTTTCATGTTGATAACGATTTTTGCTGATTCATTCTGCCAAATTAGAATACGGTCTGTTGGTGGTATTATTTTTTGTTTTGCCCTATCTTTGCATCTTTTTAAAATTCCCACATAACTCATGTGTTCAGGCAAGGGGGGCTTTAATTTGGGCATTTTCATTTTAAAAACATAAGGCTTAAATCTGTTGGTCCATCAACTAAGTGTTTCTGAAATATTTAAGCTTTTAATTTAACAGATCTTTTTCAATATATTTGTTTGTATTGAAAACAGTTTGCAGTGAAGGTGAACTAGCTGTCATTCAAATGTCTTTGTTTTCATACAACGAAGTATATGAAGTTGTCGTGATCGGTAAGCAGAAAATCATAATATTATATCATTGCCACTGTAACGGTAATTATTTTTAGGTTTATTAACGTGAATAGATGCATACATGTACATGTATCATAGAAAACTCCAGTGTCAAGTGAGGTTACTAAAGGTGACAAGAATATTCTTGATGCTGCTCTAGCTATTTGAATTACAAAACAAACAGTAATTTCCTTTTTAGACATGCAAATCTGCATTGTGTATTTAGATCAGAATATTTCAGAAACCCACCTTAGCTCTACTCAAATTGTATGCAGGTTTTCAAGTTTTAACTGGTTTGTTATCCGAGAAAGGTAAAGTATGAACGAAAACTGGAAATGTCCAAAGAGACGGAGGGGCTAGGGGGGGTGGGTGGGTGGGTGGAGGGGACAGAGGGTTTAAACCAAAAACCCTTTATTGTGGGGAATATTTTTTGGAACAATGCAATAAGCAGTTTATCATCATGGTGTCAGGTTATCAGAGGCTTCAAGTTGCTTTGCATTGTAGGAATCCAAACTAAATAAAGATCTCCCAACAATGGAAAAGTCACTATTCATTAGTTTTCAGTGAACATGCACCTTTCCACATTCCATTTGTTTAATAATTAATATGTTCCTATTGTTACTCAAGGAAATGGTCCCAATGCACTGAGTTTGTCTTACCTGTTATCTGGAAATGAGCCATACTACATTCCTCACCAGCACCCAAATACCATTCTTGACCAGAAACTGTACGAGGAGTGTGGAAAATCATTGCTGGACAGTGTAAGTGATATCCTTGTTACTAGATAATCATTGGGTGATATTTCCAGAAAATATGCACCCCTTACCACAAGCAGCACGAACATTTTGCCCCCAGATTTTATTGGTTTTCTTCTGTAAATGAACGTGAAAATATGCATAAACAATCGATGCTCGTCTTGTATCTTGCTTTCCATGGTCGTCAGCTGTGTCATGAGTTTGCTCGTGCATTCATACTCTCCTCTTTCCCCTCT